AAGTCCAGCTCTTCCATTTTGGGCAAAAAAAAGTTTGTTATCATCGCACGGTAGCGCTCGCCATTCACAGTTACGTTCCGGCCATTGTCGTCTTTGAAGAAGTACGGCCCGATGATGCCACCGGCCCATAATCCACACCAAACAGTGATTTTTTCGGGATGCATTGATAGCTCTTGCAATGCTTCTGGCTGGTCTTCACTCCAGATGCGACAATTTTGCTTGTTAACGTATCCATTCAACCAGAAATGAGCTTTGTCGCTGAACACAATTTTTCGATAAAAATGTTTATCTTTCTTCAACTTTGCCAGCGCCCATTCACCAAATTGGAAACGTTGTGGGAGGTCGTGTGGCTTCAATTCTTGCACCAGCTGTATCTTATAAGGTTTTACACCCAAATCCTGTCGCAAAATTTTCCAGGTAGTGGAGTAACAGAGGCCCAATTGCTGCGAACGGCGGCGAATCGACATTTCACGGTCATCACTAACACTGGCGGATACAGCCGCAATATTTTCTTCACTCCTCACTCTACGTCTGCGTGTTGGTGGTTTAATGTCCAATAATGTAAACTGGGTTCGAAATTTAGTCACAAGCTTCCGAATAGCTCCCTCAGTAGGCCGACCAAATTGCCCATAAATTGGAAGCAGTGCTCGATGCACTCTCTTAACCGAGCATGAATTTTGATAGTAAAATTCAATAATTTGCTAGCGTTGTTCGTTCGTAAGTCGATTCATGGTTAAATTGTAGACCAAACTGAACAAGTTTGGCAATGACACAAGACACAATTCACGCGTCATCTGTCAAAAACAGTGTTGCCAAAAATATACTAGTAAAAAAATCACCCATTATAAGGGCCCAGGATTAGCGGACAGAGCAACGAGACTAAGTAATATCTTTTTTCGTGATCTAACAGTCATAAAACATTCAAAAACATAATATCTTATTTTCGAAAATATTCGCAATTTCTATATTTTGTCGCCGGTGGGCGTATATGGCGTTTCATACGGCATCCCACAGGGTTCTGTGCTGGGTCCATTTTTATTCTTAATATAAATAAATGACCTTTCCAATTGTAATACAAACAAAAACGGTATACTGTTTGCAGATGCTCTGTAGTAGCAAATCGATCGGTCTACTTTTGTCTGCGAATGTTGAATAAATTTAGAAAATCAATTTTCAGCAAATAAACTGGCAATGTTTCAAAGACACAGACCATGGTAATAAGTATGAATCACCATAACATTGGGAGGGCACTGTCCATTTATTTACTTAGGAATCTGGAAAGTGTTTCTGGTGATACGTTGCTAACCACACATGGATTCTTTCACTCAAGAACGTCATATGCCCTCTTGAACATCAGAATCACCTCAGGTCTGAGTTATACAGGGTTTGTCCAGAAAGTAATAGGACTCATTTTCTTTCGCCATGACTGTACTTCGGACCCTACGCGCACCGACTGGATTCGGTAGAGGGCGTTCCTAGCTAACGAATGAGCGGCTGGTCAGTTGTCTCCGAGCACCTGGAGAGTCAGGACAGGCATTTTCGCGCGACGTGTTTCTGTGAGTGGTGCAAGCCGCAAATGCAGCGTTCGTTAGAGCAGAGGTACGCGATTAAATTCTGTGTGAAACTCGGTAAATCTGCGACAGAGACGTTTGATATGATCAAGCAAGCTTACCCAGGTGTTGCTTCGACTTCGACAAACACCGATAATGTGACTCGTGTGCGCAAAGTTTTGAATTCAGACCGTCGACTAAGTATTCGTTTAATTGCCCAGATGTTAAATTTACCAAAATCTGTGGTTCATGACATTGTGACACAGCATTTGAACAGGCGCAAGGTGCGCGCGAAGATGGTCCCAAAAGTGCTCACTGACGACCAGAAATTGCGTGTGTGAAGTGTGCCAAGAAAATTTGAACATGTGTGAAAGTGACCCCCAATTTTTGAATAACGTAATCACAGGTGACGAGTCGTGGATCTTTGAGTATGATCCCGAGACAAAGAGGCAATCTTCCGAGTGGCGCACGACGGCGTCTCCTCGCCCAAAAAAGGGAGGAATGAGCAAATCCAAAGTGAAAACGATGCTCATTGTCTTTTTTGACATCAAAGGCATCGTCCACCATGAATTTGTTCCTCCTGGACAAACCGCCAACGCCAAGTTTTACGTGGAAGTGCTCAGGAGTCTCAAACGAAGGGTCAGTCGGGTCCGACAAGACATCGCAGCCGACTGGAAGTTGCACCACGACAACGCCCCGGCTCACACCGCCTTTCTTTGTGAACAGCTACATGACCAAGGCCGGCATCCCAACGCTTCCGCAGCCGCCCAGACCCTAGATGTGCCCCCCCCGGACTTTTTTTGTTTCCTCGCCGGAAAAGGCCGATGAAAGGCAAGTATTTTGAGACGACAGGGGATCCAAGCAGCATGCACCGCGGCTCTCAAGGCTATTCCGGAGAATGCCTTCCGTGACGCCTTCAGTGCTTGGAAATCGCGCTGGCAGCGCTGCATCGACGCAGAAGGAGCCTATTTTAAAAGTTTTTAAAGAATTGTAACGATTGGCTCAATAAATTTTTTTAGATCGACTCAGTCCTATTACTTTCCGGACAAACCCTGTATGCAGCCGTGTAGAGAGGCATTCATCAACCTAAAGATCCTTACTCTTTCATTAGCTTATGTTGTGTACACAACAATTTGGATCTATACAAAACGCACAGATGCACATAGTTACAATACACGTACCATGCATAAGTTAGATATTTCTAAGCATCGTCTAAAATAATTAGAAACCACTGAGGCACTCACGATGTCTGGCATTTAAGTATGGAATTAAAGCGTACTTTATCAAGAAAGCCTTTATAACATCAAATAATGTGTAAGTAATTACTACAGTTTTCTGTTTTTGTTCTTTCCAACAAATTGTATTGTTATTGTATGAAATAAAATGAAAAAAGCTATTGTCTCAATTGTAGCTTTTCCATCATATACCATATCATTCACTTCTACAAATTCATTAAGACCTCGTCACTTTAACGTTTGCATTAAATTTCAATGAAAAAGTGACCCCTGCTTCTGTAACCTATACCACCCATTATCCGCCCTACAGACTACTCATCAAAGGTACACACACAAACAGACAATCACGCTACCGTGGCCGAGGCTATTTTCCGCCTAATTGCCCAAAAAAGATACGGGATCTCATCTCGGGAACGTAGTGGGGCCGAAGTATAAAATAAGGGTAACCACCCTGTTTGACAACCAGTCAGTTACTGTTGCAATTTGGTACACATTTCCGATTTGATAGTACCTGTGAGGATAAGCGGTATTGTGAATTGATGTGGAGTGAGATTGTTATTTTGGCGAACAGTTTTGAGGGCTGTTTGAGATGAGCTTTTTCGCATTTTTTGAATGGCAGATGAAGCGGTCCATGAGTGTACTGTTTTTAAGGTAAGCACAAAATATTACAAATGAATCGTTTACGAATCTACTATCATTTATGTATGTAAGTTATTTTCGGAATATTTTCTTTTCATTTTAATGGCGGACTTAGGAATCTGTGTCGGGAGGGGGGTGGATCAGGAAGCTTCTGAGAGAACATTGAAGAGCGGGAGGTGGGATACCTCTAGGGAGGGGGGACACGTCTCACGATTCAGGTCCAGCAACTTACCAAGACACAGCAATATATATACTGTTTTCTTGAAAAAAAATGTCAGACTCCAAAGTTGCGGGTCTTATTTAAAAACAAATCCTTTTACTTCGCATTTTGACCTTTCTGGGAAAATGCATGTTTCATCCCTTTATTTAGACGCAAACAAAAAATAAGAATATGATTTAAATTAATGCTTGTCGATAATAATACATTGGAATTTGCTATTAAAGTTATGCTCTTCAAGATTTGATTTTTAATTACGTTTCCCAAGACTAATTTCGACAATTATTTGATGAGTCTGTTTTAATTTTAGATTTCCAAAACTGTCGGAATGATATACAGAATGCAAGAGGAAAGGCAAAATCCGCAATCCGAGAAACCTCCTAGTAACTTCAGCATTGAACATATACTGAACTACGCTGGACCCAGCAGTGGCAATAATATGAAAGAAGAACAAGAAACTCGAGAGACAAATTCGGATACATTTTCGTGGTTACACTGTACCAGATTTTGCCCGCCAAAAATTCCTAGTGTGTATTTTAAAATTTTTTAAACAAAAACTCATTTTTGAGCCTTTATAAGTTACCTGATATTTTGGGGAGCATTTTAGCTTTTTTGGGACATAATATACAGGGTGTTCCGTGCGTAAATGGACCTTTCCATATCTGAAAATTGAAAAGTTCCAAGTTCAGTTTTTACGGTGATTTATTTAAAAACGCCAAATATTCAATATTACATATCTCAGGCACTATAATTAAAAGCCAATGAATATTGTTAATTAATTAGCAAAATAGCTTGTTTGATTACGTCTCTTTTAGTTTCTTGGGTAAACATGAAAAATATATATAATAATATAAAATGTAAAAAAATATAAATATAAATATATTATTTCTGGCGGTTTATGCGGCCAAGGACTCATAATTTTAAACATTATCAACGGTTTCATGATATGTATTCTTTCAAAAAGTGAAAAATCGGGTTTGGTCCTGAATTTTTGAACTCATAGATGAAATTATTATTGTGCAAAATTTCAACAAAGTCGGATCACAGTTGTCTGAGAGAATTTAGACGGATGGTAATTTTGATAAAAAACAAATAAGTAAAAAAAATCGAGCCCGACCCTGAATTTTTCAACCGTCCATCTAGCTTTACTGTCATCGTGCAAAATGTCAACAAAATCGGTTTAATAGTGTCTGAGATGTGTGATATTAAAGATTTGGTGTGTTTCAATAAATCACCCTGTATATTCGTAAAAATTAAACTTTTCATTTTCAGGTATGAAAAGATCTCTGTTTATACTACCCACCATTTTACTATGTCCATTTAAGTAAGGAACACCTGTATAGGTGTCTATCTTATCACATGTATTTTGTGCACTTTTTACTCCAAAATCTTCCGATACTGATTCCATTTCTCCAAATTTTAGGAAATCAAAAAAGAGATCCTCCTCAAAAACGACAGCTAGGTCGGTATCCTCGGATTCCATTTACCAGTCACCAAATCTCGATTTTGGAAGAAAGGTTCCAACAGAACCCCTACTTGAGCAGTGAGCAGGCCACAATTTTGTCCCAGAAACTTCAACTGGCGGACGTTAAAGTGAAAATCTGGTTCCAAAACAGGAGAGCTAGGAAAAGACGAGAAGAAATGGGGCAAATAAAGAAAGAGAAAAAGAAGATTGATATGTCGGAAAGTGTTAATAATGTGATGAGTCATCCACAGGACTTTGTAGCTAGTAGTCATTTGGTGCCTTATTTGTATATAACCCCTGGATGTAGTGTGTTGGATGTAAATAAATAGTTCTTATGATTGTGTTATATTTATGCTGTAAATAAAGTATATATTTATTTTATATGAAGTTCGGTGTTTAATTTCGAAATTTCAAACCTGCGTTTTTCACCTCGTTTATGGTTAATGCTTATTCAGGCTTCAGGATCTGATTGTTGCCAAAGATGGGAAACGCTTATAGCAATTGCCTAAATTATTTTTATGTTTTATAAAAGCTTATTTCCAAATTGTTTTCGGAGAAAACATTTCACGTGAAACAGCGCATATTTATGATAAAATTGTATATACGGCAACGTCGAAGCGAATTACGCTTCCAAGATCGATATCGAATAAAGGTGCCCATCACTACACACACCTGACCGTTGACACATGAGTGACAGCAAAATTTGACAGAATTTTCGAGGTTAGTCATGTTGTTTTAGGTTAGGATTTTTGTTAGCGTGTTTATGAACCTTTTGTTGAAAATAAAGTCGGATTAACAACTTGTGGTATACAAACCAACAATTTAGCAGTTTCCCAAAGGCGCTTCGTTGAGGGATAACCTACCAGGTATGTGAAATTTTTAAAATTAATTATTTGAAGTACGAAGCTCTACGCACGTGTTTGAGGCTTTCCCCTTAAATCTACGTCTGAGATGAATTCCAACAGCTTGTGCGTTAGTCACTTCGTATGTGGATGTATTTGTGAAAATTTATTGTTTTGCAGAATGTCATTTCGAGGTGGTGGAGGTCGAGGCTTTGGTGGTGGCAATCGCAACAGTTTTGGAGGAGGCGGGGGAGGAAGAGGAGGTTTTGGAGGGGGAGGAAGAGGAGGTTTTGGAGGGGGACGAGGAGGCAGAGGAGGGGGTAGAGGAGGCGGAGGCAGGAATTTCGATCAGGGGCCACCTGAAACTGTTATACCTTTAGGTAATGAAATTTACTCATCTGCTATACTTTCAGTTACAATAATCATAATAAACTATTTTGGTCGATTTATTTTAGCCAAGATGCAAAAAATCCTCAAAGACAAATATTCTATATGTTGCGAAAGTAGAAATCTTGGATAATACTCCATTACTCTTTGCTTTCCAGGTTATTTTGACTACACTGTGCAAGACGATTTGGTATGCAAGGTAGAAATCGAAGATGTTCCCTTTTTCAATGCCCCCATCTACCTTGAAAACAAGGAACAAATTGGAAAAATAGATGAAATTTTTGGAAATGTGAGAGATTATTCTGTGACTGTTAGACTAGGAGATAACATGAAGGCTAACAGTTTCAAACAAGCAGAAAAGGTAAATTTACTTTGATAATCTATAGGTATTGATAACAAATTGTAAAATATTTCAACTCGTAAACATTTTAGACTTTTGCAGATAGCCAAGCCAAGCTCTTTGTTATAGACTTTGTTGTAGCTTGATTTGTATTTTAATTTTGGCAATAATCTGGAGGTGGGTTTTGACTCACATTTGACGAGTAACAATTACACTGCAAAATACACTTTCATTTTGTTTAGCTTATAAATAATATGATGGAAATCATTATTTAGTAAAAACTATTCCTCTAATGATCCATATTTATATAAATTTCTTGTAATTAACTGGACTTGGAGTCCAAAGAAACACAGGTTCATGTTACGAAGTTACTGACATTTTAGAATAATTTATTTCTTTAAGGCTCTTTCTAGTTAGAAGCTGTGGTGGTCAAATAATCATTCAACATCATATGCATCTTAGATATTATCATTTAGTATGCATTATGAATATGAAAACGAAATCCATTTCAGGAATCATTCTTAATCATTTTTAACTAACTTGACTTCGGGGATGCTTGACCTTAAAGTGTGACCTTGGACTTGTTCAATGTCAATCCTGCACAAGGTCAAAGTCGGTACCTTGGTTTGGAAACAGAACTTCTAATCTTATAATTATATTTTTATGTTTCAGTTGTTCATTGACCCAGCAAAGCTGCTACCCCTGCAACGATTCCTGCCCAAAGCACCCGGTTCTGTGCAGAAGAGGGGCGGCGGTCGAGGAGGAAGAGGCGGTGGTGGGGGTAGAGGGCGAGGTGGCGGCGGTTTTGGAGGGGGAAGAGGGGGAGGATTTGGAGGTAGAGGAGGCGGTGGAGGTGGTAGAGGATTTGGAGGAGGAGGTGAGTTTTGTTTGTTATAGTTTTGCAGTTATCAAAGGGAAGTAAGGAGGTAGAGGGAGTAATAAATGAGGATTTTAGGTAGAAGAGACGGTAGAGGAGTGGAGGAGGAGAAAATTGAGGGAGCCTCCTTTCATATTGTTTAGTTCAAAAGATTGATGCCATCACTATATTTTTTATTTTCAGGACGTGGAGGGGGAGGCTTTGGAGGAGGAGGTTTTGGAGGTAGAGGCAGAGGAGGTGGAGGAGGAGGAGGTAGAGGCGGCGGAGGTGGTGGCGGGTACAGAAACAACAAGTGGTGAGACAATGGTGGGTATTGTCACTTGAGCATCAAACATTTTTTTTATTACTCAGAAGCTCAATAGTATTATTGATGGAAAAGTGTTATTAATGTTTGAATGTCATAACACTTGAAGAACATTTGATATCATTTTGTGATATTAATGCCATCATTAGTGTTCACTAGGGGGATGAGTGAAGTACACAGAGGGAGATTACCAATGGCCAGCTGACATTGACGAAACTAGCTCCAGGCTACTAGTGCTCTCATATCCTTCCTTGATTGACAGACAGATCAAGATTTGTGATGTGGACATGTACAAAAAAGGCATCAAAAATAAAGTTCTGTTTTTTGCAATTCTCAAAGAATCTCTATTTAAACCTTGCAATCAAATGTTATATTTTATCTTAGAAATTATTCTGAAGATTAAAGTGATGTATCGCCTGTTTTTACAGATGTGTGCAGCAATAGATGCCAGAGGAAAACTAGAATTACCCTGTTTATTTTTTAACACAATATCAATTGTACCAGGTATAAGTGTGTTCATATTGAACTGTTGTTGATGTTAATAGTGTGTTGGATAATTACAAACAGTATAATTAATGAAACATATTTTTCTAGTGTATGAGTGGAACTAGAAGAAGACATGATTTACGCCTCTTCCAAAAATCCTGTCTTTTTTTATTATTTTGTCCAGTTTGTGTTTGTATTCCATAATAAATCATTTAAGTTTTGTATTTTATATAGGTGAGCAATTGTAAATATAGATGTTTAAGGACGATTTTTAAATAAAATACCCTCAAACAAATTACTAAGTGTTTTTGATCAATTAGGGACAACAAGAAAGTTGAGCTCGAAAATTTATTAAACCAAACGTCTAAATTCAGTTTATATGAGAAAGAAATACAGACATAAAACTAATTTTAACGAGATTCCATCACATTTTCAACCATAAAACTGTAGAGCCTTCTGATCAGCGTTGCCAGATTCGTCGCAGGGAATTATCGTACAAACATGTCAAAATTATCGTACATTATGATGAATTCAATTTCCGTCTGTCACTCTTTTGTTTCCCACTCTTTCCTATAAGCTTGCTGTCTATGTTTGGCTTTCTTCAAAGATTCCGCTCCTTTTTTTTCGTTTTCTGTATTCAAGAGTACCGCATCTTTTGTTGTGCTTCTCTCTTCCAGAGCAACTTGATTCGGAATCCGACATTATCGTTATTGAATTGAAACCGGTTAAATATCGAAAATAATCGAAAACGATCTTTTGATTTTTAAGTCATAAAAAGGGGGGGGGGGCGTCGTATCCATTTCATCTAATGCACATGGGTAAATAACAATATGCACGTCATATCATGTTGATGTTTGCCAAGATAGACCGCGTAATGCTAGGCAACCCATTATACAGAGTTGGGGTACGCGTGGTTGTCTACCAAGCGGCAAAACTGACAGCTGCTTGCAAGTGTTCATTGAACGTAGTTGTTAGATTGATTCAACATATGTCAGTAAAAAAGCTCATTCTCAAAATTATCGTACATTCAGCTATTATCCTACACATACTATCGTACATCGTACAGTACTTGAAATTATCGTATAGAAACGATAATTATCGTATGTCTAGCAACGCTGCTTTTGATATTTTTTTAGTTAAGAATTCTAAACTTCCTGCACTTAGGAATATATACAGTACGTCCAACTTTGTGATTTCATCAAAATAATATGGCAAGGGTATAAACGTGGTTTTGAAGTAACCAGCACGATGAGAAGTAGTAAAAAATATTTCACTAATTCCAATATCAATTTGTTTCAATAACTTCAATTAAAACATACACCCTATTTCATGAATATCCTTCACTGTAGAATGACAGTTGATTATCTAGTAATATCTCAAAATTCCCCATAACGGCTCAGGACACGACGGATCCGTCAACCCAGGCAGACAGAGGCGACATTGTTTTGGAGTTTTGTGCGCAACAGATTCATTTTGTACTTGCTAACAGCTATTTTATTTAGAAAAATTAATTTGCATACAAAAAACAAACTAGATTTACACCCGATTCATTATTGCCAACGTCGCAGACCAACACAAAAATGTCACTTGCTCATGAGCTGTGTGAAATAGGGTATACCTATAGTCTTTTTCATGAGTATCCATTACGGTAGAATGACAGCTGATTATCTAGTAGCATTTAAAAATTACCCATATCGGCAAAGGGCATACATTCTGACGGATCCGTCAATGCCAGGTAGTCAGAGCCACGTTTTGTTTTTTTGTACGCTATAGATTCATTTCACAAAAAACAAAACGCTACAAACAAGTCTTACTAGATTTACACTCGATTGCTGATCACCTGTTCACCTCAAAGCCTGATGGATACCCGTGAAACGGGATATAATAACCTCACCCTTCAAATGTTTTCGACTTGTTTAGTTGTACAACAGAATATCTGTCTTCCTCACCAATGTGCTAGATCAACCCCACTTCATCGAATATACTGTTAACTTAATACTTTTCTTAACATGCGACAACACGGATTTTTAACACCCTGTATGTTCGTTTGGATTTCTTACTCAACCGCAGAGTGCTGTGGAAAAAACTGCCGCTGCAGGTGCTTATGGGTAATTTGCCGTTCAGTGAAAATATTTTATTCGCGTTGGTTGCTAGGTTATCTAGTATTTTGCGCGTTTTCTTCTGTATTTTCGTCGCGAATAGGAAAAATTATGTGTGCGATCTTGCGAATGGTCATCAGAAAATATCCTCCAGTCGTCACTTTAACGTAAGTAAAAAATAAAAGAAGATATTTAGTTTGTACACCGTCGATAGTGAGTGTTTTGCATGCAGAATTCTGTAAAATCGTTATTATAAGATCATCATTGCTCTAAACTCTATTGGAATGTGTAGATTGTAGAACATACTAGCAGAATATGGACCTTTTCGCTTAGTTTCAAATAAATCCGGAAGTAGTTAACGTTTTCAGGTGGCTTTAATGTATTATTTGATTTAATAACATAAAGAAAAGAGTGCTGTGCAAAATCAGTGTTCCCACTCTCAATCGGTGAACCTTTTTTTTTTACCAATTGAGGATTTTTTTAATATTTCCAGAACTTGAGCAGTCCCAAAAGTTGCTCTGGCAGGTGTGGCGATTCGGTAAGTCATTTTTAGCATTTCAGGCTCGTTTTTAGCAAATCTTGAATATCCGATTAAGAAAAGCTACCAGAATTTGAAATATATTCGAGTAGGTACAAGCATTCAAGCAATCAAGTCCAAACGCGCGATGTTGCCAATTCAGCATAAGCAGTTTTTTCAGGATTTTTTTGTCGGATCAGCGGATTTAATAGATTAACGTAGGATTTCTTTGATCTGTATTTCTCACAAATTCCTAGAGTGGGCACATTTTAAGGAATTCTTTATACAGCGTGTTCGAAAAATAGACGGAGATATGGATGATTCCTTGTTAAAAAATATGAATAACAGTTTCTATGTGTTGACGTTTAACTGAAGCGGAAATGTCATATCTCTATGCAGAAATGATTTTTTGTTTTCCTAGGCACTTGTGATTTTTTTAACAAAATTAAATTTGGTTCACCGACATGCAATAAAACGGTTTTTATTTTTTTTTCTCGAAAACGAAGTGAGATACGAGAAAAATACAAGACGCAGAAGCTGTATTTTTAGATGCTTAATCAAGCAACAAATATTGAAATTACAAGAACCGCTGTGGCGTACATTTGTTTGCGAATAATATTCGCAAACAAATAATATTGCCAAATTCAAACAGAATCAAGTAAATATTTTTTAAGATATTAATACTAAGGGATTGAAATATAGTCCAGTCCTTTTGGTACAGAGTGACGCCCTGGCATAAGTGAAACAGTTCGTTATAATGGTGATGGTGATTCATCTGGATGTACTTTTTCAAAAGCATGGAAAATAAAGACAATCAATTTTGTCGTAAACGTACGTCAAAGAAAAGAGGCATCCATGACGTTCCTTGTTTAAAAATGATTTTTCAGATATTGGCAGTCCACGGTTTTCGATGATACGTCCATGATTTAATGCGGATTTCCGAGTAATACTGATTCTAATTCCCCAACGGTTCTTTCTCATTATACTATATTTAGATATAACCCTGAATTTCAAGCACAAAAAAAATGTTAGAATTCGATATGTCTGAAATTAGAAGCGTCATTAAAAATTTGAATAGACCATACTGACCGCACTAACGACATTTCAAAGAAATAATCTTTAAAAGTTTAATGCTTTTTTCCTCTTTTTTAAAAAACAACTTTGAAATGATCCACCCGTTAGTTCATCCTGAAGACTTCATCATATCAACAATTTTGAAATAAAAAATATCCTGGTATCAGGGTAAAATCAATTTTAAATTCAATTCAGAGCAAATATATTTGAAAAGACTTTACAAGTGAAAGATCAACAAATAAAGAATGCATTTGTGTATAACTTCAATAAGTATCGAGATAAGAATATCCTGTATTAAATAATATATATCTTTTCTCGAAAGTTGAGGATAGGGAAGATAGTCGCGTGCTACATTTAAAATCCAGAAATAGTTGCTTTTAAACATTTCCAGTCATCAAAACGCAATTTAAGTCACTGACATAACATTTATGGGAATCAATCATATGGTTCAGTTGTGTTTTTTAAATGCTCTCAAAAAATATTCTGTGTTCCTAGTATTCATAATTTGTTTATAAGCAACCATTTATCATAAAAATTGGGTAAATATTTTATAAATTCATAATATTGACTTCATGTTGTTTCAAAAATAGTTGTTTATCCACTAGGTGAGACTGAGGGTTGATGAATTATTTTTACGTCCAAGATATCCGACCATTCTTTGAAGAATTACTACTAAATCAACTCAATTTTATGATAAACATTGATTTATACAGGGCGTCCATTTTTAGAGCAAAGTGTTATGTATGCCAAAAATTAGATGAACTACTAAATTTTTGTTTTTTAAAAAAACTAAACAGTCGAACATCCTGAGATTCACTTGCTGCTCAAAATGTATAATATAAACTAATATAGCGACTCTATACCAAGTTTTAATCACTTATAGATATTTTACAATAATAATTTATTATTCAATATGTTTTTAAATCTAACAACTTCTGTACAAAATTAATACATGTTCAATTCCGTATAGCATTTCGATATACTTCGTGATTGTACAAAAATTACATCCTTATAAGATTTACAATTTTAAATTTATGTGTTTTTACAAAAATGTATTAATCTTGTAGGAAGTACGTATAATGTATACGTTCTGGTGTTCAATTTTTTAATAAAGATGTATATATTTCGTTTATTTTTGCACTATGGCTTTGAAAATGCAAAGGTGTGAGTAGAATTCGTGCAGAATTATCAACCTGGACAAGTTGAGTTTTTGATAGCTGGGACAGATTCATACATACATTCATGTTTTGAGTAAAAAAGGCGAAAACTTCACATTTGTTGGAGACATTTTATTGGTTTTCTCGATTTTGAATAATGGCTTGAAGTCTTGATTGTTTCTGTCTCTCTCTCTAAAAAACAGTGTCCAAATTGAAAGTTCTGCCAAGTCCTCGTGAGAGCAAATATTTCGAGTTTGTGTAAATTCGTTTTGTATTCAATAAAATTGTTCTGAAGACAATTTTTCTCAAATGTAACCCTTACTTTGTTACAACTGGTCCAAATAGCACCGACAAGAAAAGAGAAATCAGTTGTTTTCCATTAAAAAAAGTGGACTGAGATTTTAAAATATTAAATTAGTACTCTTTATGTGGTGACTAGTAAAATACTAATTCTATATAAGTATATCTAAGTATTATTTGAGGAAATAGTCTATATAAATATATTTAATAGATCAGGCAAATAAATATTTTAAGTCTAGTGAATTATTGGTAGCAAAAGCCTTCAAAAAATTTGTATGGAATTTGGATTTGGCGCTCTGAACTTTCGCTATAATTTTTTTCATTTTGCTTATGCGTTAATGTTAACTAAAGGGATCGGTTTTTCATGAAAAATGATCATAAATGTTGTATGTTATTTTTAAAGAAGTTAACTACCTCTTAGTATGCGGCTACCAATATATAGTCAAAATTGTTTTCTTATATGCCTGACCTATGAATCAGATTGCAAAATTGTGGCAAGTAAGCCTCTTCATACTCCGATTTATGAATATTTCAGAAATAAATAAGGACATAAAGAATCTAGAAAATTATCAAGATTCAATAACGGGCATTTTTTGAAGTTTCAGGAAGTATTTTTGAATGTGACAAAATCAGCAATTATGTTAATAGTTGATAAAAACTGAATAATCTGAGTTTCGCATTTTCCTTTTCTCCAACTTCAACTTGTTTCTGCTGATTATGATTCAAACTATTTACTCATTATATTCATATGCCAGAGTAAACTTATGAAACTATATTCCTTAAATATTTTATATAAGTTGAAGTATCCATCGTACATTCTCCTTTAGTCCCAAATAAGTCTATTCGTACAAACCATTTCAATTTGAAAACATACGATGGACTTTCTCGCTCCCCATATATTTCCTTCTTCAAATCCCACTTCTGATTACAGAGGTCCTAAAAGCCTATCGTCAAATTATGGAAAGCGGTTTCCAGTATATAATATCACAAGGGGTTAAGTTTTATTCTATAATACAAGTATTGAAAAATAGTATATATTTAGGAATGCATCAATTCGTAATATATATGTACAAGGAATGTGTTTTTTGTTGAAAAAACGATTTAAAGTGCACTTTATGAACGACTGTTGTATTTTTGAAAGGGCGTTTTTTTTGTTGATAAAATTGGTGTTTTGGGTTGGTCCCATGATTTTAGGACTATGCGGAAAAAACAAGATTTTTGATGTAGTTGTTTGAATTTTTCACCAATAAAAGACATCCATTTTTCTAGGAGGATGCAGTTTATACTCGTGTGAAAAATAAGATGTTATTAGAGATTGTGATATTAATTTTTTTTCAAATAATGTATTTTTCAAAATACGGATTCTGTTGATAAAGTGCATTAAAATTGCCTAGGGCTCATTCAGGCAACAACCGTTTTTCCAAAATACCATTTGGACAAAGACGAACTTACTTTGATCATCTATACCCAGATGGTCCTAAAATTATATATCTACAATATAAGTTATTTCACAGACTACGATGAAATAGTAAAAATAGAAATGCATATCGATTTCCCTAACGTAATAATTATAAAGATTCAACTACGAAAAAACGCTTAGCCTAGAATATTCGAAACGAAAATATAGAAAGGGTTCGTTTGGTCGATAACAAAAATTCAATAACGTTATCACAATTTGGACGTACAGTCGACAGAAGAAAGTAATGCCGCTTTTTTTTTGGAAAAACGCAGAATTTTAGCAAAATCTGGCAACATAGCAATAGAAAACAGTCGATAGCGTTATAGTCCAGGAGCTGCTTGGAAAAGTTTGATTCGTTTTTTTGCATAATTTTATTAAAGATTGAGCACTTTTAACGATTTTGGATGTAACCAGGCCCAAAGATACCATAGTTCAAATAACAAATTAAAAAATTATTTTGGCAAAGTTTTTTAGGTCTTTTAGGCTCATTCTGAACGAAAAATGTTCTCATGAAAATGCCCAAAAACCCTTTGTCCGTATGGAAAAAGCAATATTTGGAATTCGTTTAAAAAATATTTAATCATTTCATGTCACAATTTTGTGGCCTGGTGGTTTAAAAGCGGTCATTTTTGAATAAGATTATGCAAAAAAACGAATCAGAATGTTTCTCCGAGCAGACGCGGAGATCCTCCCAGGACTACTATGATTGAGGCATGCATTTTCTATTGTTTTTTGTTGCGTTCAGGATTTTAATAGCTTCTCACGCTGTTGCCAAAATTCAGTCAATTTCCGACAATTTTTAGAAAGAGTATGCGTTTACTTTGTTTGATCAACTGTACCAAGTACATTAGGTACAATAATAATAATAAATATGATATATTTACATTCGTTTCCATATACAAATCTGGATATAATAATATAAGGCATTCGAGAAAAATAGAGACAACATTGCTTGGATGAAAGGCCATAAGAAGTTTTTTTTTTCGAAAAAAGTGATGATTAGACGTCCGTTCCCACGTTGGACGAGATCATTTGGAAATGTTCTTGACCTAAAAAAATCAACGAAAGTTAAATAAAGGTACATTTTGACGGTTGGCGATAAATGGTGTCAATTTGGCGCTAGCTCCTACGCTGAAAAGCAAAAATATTACCGCGGAAAGTCTCACACTTCGGGTGGAGCGTTCTGGGTGGACGTTTTATGGTGTTTTCAGTTAGGCAGTATAAAGAAAAAATGTCACAAAGTCCTTTACTTACTCTCCAAATAGGCGATCATTCCTTGATCATTCAGTTGGATCGCCAGCAGCTTAGGAGTTAAACCACGGTGATCAGCGATGGTGAGAGATGCTCCACCTGCCACCAGCATGCAGCAGATCGTTTGCCATTTGTGGGTAACAGCGATATGAAGCGCCGTTTGACCCCTGAAATAATAAATGGATTCAACCATTCACGCTTTCTACTTGAAGAAAACCAAAATAATACTGTATCGTACTGAGTTCTTTTGGGTGTGGATTGAATCACTGGATTCCACAAAAAGAAATGCACTTATTTATTTAACTTGACTAGATAGAACATTTATGTACACCAATATTTATGTCTTGACTATTTATTTACGTCGCGCCATTCACTGAACTACTATACTCTACTCTGCTTTCCTCTCCCGGCCTTCGAGTTATATAGTCCGCATCGTTGATTCGAGAAGATTCCGGTGAGCCACATAGCGGCATTCCGGAATCGTCGAGGTCGCTTCGCGTCGATCTAGAAGGCGAGTCACTGGCACGGTCCTCAACAGATGTCGCCAAGCGGCATGTGCGGTCGCGATCCCCGTAAAAACATAGATCGGCCATGAAGCTCTACTATTCATTCTTGTTACAATACGATCTATACTAAATGCAACACCGACTAGGAGTGCTTTTAGGTCTACGCATAAATAGAAAATGATTAAAGTGTTAACTCGAAATTTCGCAAAATAGCTGAGATATGCCTGTTCATAATGTGTTGAAGCTCCTCTGTTCGCGGCATTGTTAACTTACAGATTAGAATCCTGTAGGTTCAGCAACGTTGGAGCGAATCGGATCAGATATTTGACGATCTCTTTGTGTCCATATCTGACCGCGTAGTGAAGCATCGTCTGTCCTGATGTATCCCTCGTCAACAGTGAATATCCTTGATTGTGAAGCTCCTTCACCTGAATAGTTGCAAAGGTAATGCAAGACTTGAAAGATGTTTTAGATTTGCGAATGAGACATACACATGGAAAGAGCTACATAAAGATCAAGATCTGCACCCCAGAGCCAGACTAGGTTAAGTCAATTTTTGTCACAAATGACTTTAATATGTTAAGCTGATAATATTGTGAATTTTCATTTGCTACATACAGCGTCCATCTATCTGTAATAATAAGGACGGTACGACTTTTTAACTCGTTAATTCGCATACAAAACAATGAAAGAAAAATATTTCAATTATCTCAAAACTATTTATTTGGGCTTAACCTAGTCTGAGGTACAGAGATGATATAGACGGAATTTACATAATTGGTGAACCCACTAGAATTTTTTGACAGCGCTAAAAATCGTCAGCAACTCGAAGACAGATACTTTAAGAGCTTTTTGTCTTTCTAAATTTGTCAAAACATTACATGAAGCGAAAGGATGCATTTTAACTTGATCTATTGTTTATTTGTTAACTAGTTTTATCCGAGGTTTTGAGGTATTTTAAAAGAAGTTCTTACCTTTTGAAAATCTCCGCTTTTTGCTGCCTTCAGAAGTAACTCGTTACGTCTGTCGGTGCTGAAACGTATTGATATTTATTACTTTTAAAATTTGACTTTGAATTAACATTGTTTAGCGTTCTACCTGCAGATACCTAACCATAAGATCAGACTTTCTCACTTATCATCCCTTGAGGGAGGAATGGGTCCATATCACATATATATTTATATATATATACAGGGTGACTTTGAAGTTGAGTCATTAATTTTCAGATAATGATTGTAGAAGGAAGATAAACCAAAATATGTGTGTAAAAATAAAAAAAATAAAAAAAAAAAAAATTTACCTTGTTTTATAAAGTATCCTCCCGACAAGTATTTCAGTGCGGACCTGTATTTGATCGTGAGGTCCCCTGTGAGGTCTTAAGTCACCTGATTCACGAGCCCGTTGTACTACATTAGCAAAGGCACGAGGGGTTGGTTGCACTCGATTGGGAAACCGATCCGCATAAACATGTGCCATTTTTTATTTCGTTTGAGCCACGCAACAGACACTATTCACACGCGTTACCGAATGACACTGACTGTATGTATAACTGAACTGAATAAAATAATTGTAAAAACATCGTTCCAAATTCTTTCGCTTTTTTGTTTCCGATGCGATGAACCGATAAGGCGGATTATATCCGTTGTTGCCAAACACGAGCACATGATATTATTGAGACAGGGCGGTACTCAAACTTCCAAAGGGCTATAACTTTGTTACTTTAATTTTACCAGAAAAATGGTAAAGGAAAAAAACATTTCTTTTGATCAGATCTACTCACTGTTAAAATAAATGACTCAACTTCGAAGTCACCCTGTATATATATGTATATTTGGAATCGAAACTAAAAACTCGTCTATGCATAAATCCAATATGGATTCTGTTAGAAAAAATACATGTGATGCTGGAAGGGAAAAGACGAAATGTTCGTGGCGCTGCGTGGTTCAGGCCGCTGCGCATTCCCCGAGTGTGTGCTGCCGAACGAGCTAACCCCCCTCCCCAATTTTGCCCTTTTTCCCGAAATTTGACTCGATCGCGCACGCGTCGCGGAAGCACGTGGTGGACGTTTCTTCCAACTGTCGGTTCTCGACTTTTATGGGCGGCCTATTTCTTGGGGGTTCTGCGCTGGGGGCTTTGACCTAAGCCCCGCATTAAGGTTGGTGAGCCTTCGCTCTTTCCTCGTCGACTGGAGTCAGTCAGTCAATCATTTGCTGTTTGTCATTCGTCTCCTGAGGTTAGCCCCGAGTCCGTGCTTGACTCTGGCCACCTCAATCGACAGGCTTCTTTTTGTCCACCCGTTGTACACGGGCTGTTCTTTCCCCTCTTGGGTGTACAACTATTGTCGGTCTTCTCCCATTTTCTTTGGCCTCATCAGCTGCTAGGGCCAGCTGGCTTTTCGGTCTTTTATGACGCCTTATTGTTCTTGGGTCGTAATCCAAGGCGTCTTTAATCAGCACATTTCGATGTCTTTCGTTCCCTTCAAAGAACTTTCGGGCCCTCTCTCTCATCTGGATTACGACCGGTACCTGTCGTAGTTCGTCATATAGCACTCTGTTAGGTACATACCACGGTGCGTCCACCGCCTCACGGAGTGCTATGTTTTGTCGAGCTTGGAGCCTCTTCTTCATCGTTTTGGAAACGTAGAACCAAACAACTGCTGCGTAAGTCATGATTTGGAGCAGCACCATCTGAATCATGATGGTCTTATTCTTTAAGGTTCAAAGTAATCGAGATCGTTCTCGAACAGATCGCTCACCGCAGTGTTGCCGCTGCTTGTGTTTATTATGAGAATTTACAAAATTTGCGGAAACCTCTATGATTTTTACACCTTTTTAAAATATGTTGTGAACCACCACAATTGCCATTGCGAGTTACCGGTAGCTCGCGATCGACTAGTTGACAACCACTGATCTAAAGATTAAAATTACCTCGACCGTGGCCTTCACGATATTATAAAAAAACTTGTGCCTCTAAAATGTGAAAAGTTTGATTACATTTTCTTTGTTATGCCATGCCAGGACTTTGCGATTAACTTCGTGTAAAGTGGAGCGATATTGAGTTTAAAAGAGAAAGTTTTTCATGCAAGTATTCCATCAACAAAAAAAAATCTCACCTGTAAGCGCTAAAGGATTCCTCATTCAAACCGAATAGTCTCTCACTGACGCTGCATGCACATAGTAAGGATACGTCAGAAAAAAATTCGTGGATCTTTGCAAAATATTTCCGATTTACAATTTTTATTGTACGATGAAAACAATGTTAGGATGACGTCGTTCAAAAGGTGAATTTCGCTATGATTGACCAACGAATTTTTTTCTATTTTGGAAAGTATCTGAAGACCTAAAAAAAAAAGTCGTGTCTTAAATGTGTGCAAGAGCGTGTGAAATGTAAAAGCGGAAATATGTGCGATTTTTTTTGTTTTGTTTTGTTTTTCACGCGGGGACTGAGACAAGAGATCACGACTGAAGACCAAGGTCTGCCATTTATTTCAACAAAATGGTATATATTGCTGTATTATCCCACCCGCTCTCCAATTTAATCATCGCCAACTTCCTCCTCTCTCTGAGACGTACATCTTACCCTCCTAAAAATACTGCGATCACCACACTGCCCCACTTCCCCCCCTCCCTAGACAGATTCCTAAACCCGCCCTTGGCATCTTATGGTATCTCTTACTACGTTTTTATTCTATTTGAACCTAAATTTGAATCTTTTACGGTACCAGAAGCAGATTTACCGTATGAGTCTCAGTCTGTCGCCTCGATCTCTTCGTCAATTTTTCACTTAATTTTTGCTAATATTTTTCCAAAATACGTGTGTGTGCCCAAAATACAAAAAATTGTATATTAGAAATAAATGCGCCTTCATGCACCAAAAAGATAAAAGTGTTTCGATAGTAAATACCAGGTAAAAGTACGAAACTTTTGCTAAAGGAACGTGAAATACTTCAAACAAAATAGTCACCTTCTGATCTTCACGTTGTCCGATCCCTCATCGCCATTTCGATCTTCAATGGAAATTCGCTCGTCCGGAGATGGATAGTCAACTGCTTTCGGGGATGCAGGCGATTGGTCCAAGGGAGAGTTCATACTTTCCTCGTCGCTGATGAGAGTAAAAGGAAGATAGCAATTATAGGAGTTGTACGAATATCAAAAACAAAATACCAATAGTAGAGGTCAAGGGTCAAGGTCAATGATTGAGAATAGAGGATCGAAGGTAAAGGATCAAAGTTTAAGAATGTGAACCAAGGATTGCGTATCACTGTATCACAAATCAGAGATTGAAGATCGCAGATCAGAGATCCATGACCAAGAAGCGCAGGTCATATATCGACGACAGAAGTAATGATCTGGGATAAAGAATCTAGGATTAAGGCTCTAGGTGAAAGGATCAAAGTCGAGCATCAAATATCGATGGAGGTACAATAATCAGGAACAAGGGCCGACAACCAAGGCACAAGACCTGAATAAAATGCCGAATATTCAAAATGAAATATGGAAAGATGTGACCGAAAACATGAAACAAGAAGTAGGAATAACAAAGAAAGTATAACTTATGTTTTACCTTTTTGAAGTGCTGAGAGGTCCACCGTGAAAGGAAGTGGGTGACGCGTTGGCAGTTTCGTTTTCAGGTGTTTGAGGCATCGTCTCTTCATTGCAGTCCAATATGTACAAACTATCTAAGGCTATGTCGGAGACGTAGTGTAGATTCTCTTGGGCCTTGTCTATGCGGAAGAACCTTTCGGCCGTACAAGCTAAATATGGATTCAAAACGAAATATTCATTATGAAAAAAGGACTCATTAGCATATACTTACAATCAACAAAGCACCATTCCAAAGACGAAGACTGCTCTTTATTTTCTTCGATGAGCTTATTAATTATATTTCTAACTTGTTCTAAGTCTGTAGCTGGATTAACTTCTATTTGGCCAACGTTTATTGCTAGAAAAAAACAAACAAAAACATTAAAAAATTGTAAGTTGGTTAAAGATAAGACCACCTGAACTTAACAACTACAGGATCATTACTCATTGAACAAGACCATGAATAAGATACTCAGACCCCTTAGTAAAACAACTAATACCTACTTGAAAGAGTAAAATTATCGTAGGGGTTCCACAAGGTTTCGTTCTCTAACCAACGCTGCATACTCACCAGATTGAGCTAAAAGATCCTTCTCGTCATGATGCTGCTCGTAATCGGCCATACTAATCCTATGAACGGTGATCTTGAGATTGTCTAGCGCAGTCTGGGTGGGTGTGAGTTTGCCGCCCTTTCTCTTGATGAGCATAGGCGCCTTGTTCAGATGAGTGAGGGTGATGATTGAAGGGGCGAGACGGCACGCCTCGCCGTCCACCTGCATCGGGATCGTTTTCGAGGTGACGATTTTCGCGGTACGGCACTGGGTGATGCAGGTCCCGTGACCGCCGGCTTGCAGTAAAGGCTGTCAATCGGTCAATCAATCAATTAATCGATCAATCAATCAATGAATCAATCAGTCGATAAATCGGTCAATCGATCAATCAATCGATCAAGCGATCTGACGATCAATCGATCAACAATCAGTCAATTAATCAGTCAATCACTTGCTTAATCAAATTGATTTAATTGATCATTCAAGCAGTCAATCAATCAGCCAATAAATCAGTAAATAAATCAGCTAACGAATTAATCAATCAATCATTTCATTAGTTAAATTAATGAAGTGCAACATAACCCACCTCGATCATTCAATCTCTCAATCAATTAATCAATCAACCAGTCAATCACTTGATTAATTAGACTGATTTGATTAAATATTCAATTAGTCAATCTTCCAATCAATAAATCAATTAATCAATCAATCAACTAATCAATCAATCAGTCAATCACTTGCTTAATTAAATTAAATTGATAATAATTCAAGCAATCAATTAATCAATGAATCAAGCAATCAAGCAATCAATTAAATAATCATTTTTACCACCTACCAACGAAGGGGTTTAGTACAATAAAATGCAATGTACTGTAATGCAATACAATGCAATACACTACAACCCACCAGGATCAGTCAATCAGTCAATAAATCAATTAATTTATAATAATATATAATGATAACCAATTAATCAAACAATCAGTCAATCAGTTCATTAGTTAAATTAACCTTATTAATCATTCAAGCAGTCAATCAATCAATGAATCAATCAATTGATCAGTCAATCTATCAATCATTCATGCAATCAATTAATAAAACAATCAATCACTTCATTAATTGAATTGATTTGATTAATCATTCCAGCCGTCAATCAATCAATCAATCAATCAATTAATCAATAAACCAATAAATCAATTAATCAATCAATCAGTCAATCAATTCACTAGTTAGATTAATTTTATTAATCATTCAAGCAGTCAGTTAATCAATCAATCAATGAATCAAAGAATCAATCAATTGATTAGTCATTTTTCCCACCTACCAACTAATCAATCCAGTACAATAAAATGCAATGTATTGTAATGCAATACAATGCAATACAACGCAATACATTGCAATACGATACAACCTCGATCGTTCAATTGATCAGGAAATTAAGCATACGATCTATAATCAGATAAGAATTCGATCAACGGTCAAGGGTTCGGAAAACGGATGGCGGATCGAGGAATGAGGATTCAATATCAAGGGTCGATGATCAACTATCAATGTTTTAGAATGTAATATATTTACCAGTTGATATGTGGTGAGACCAACAACTTCGATCAGTTCATCTTCCGTACTGGGTTCAACGCTTCCCATTGATCGATTCCACGGTCTTGTTCCTCCACCATAACTGAAAAAAAAAATCATGAACCGCCTAATATACTCTTAAATCCATTGTACATAATGTTATATTATTATTATTGGTTAAATATTTTGCGGCTGAGCTAAGCACGCCACTGGTTTCTTTGTCAATGAACTTTCAGATGAAAAAATAATTTACCGTGCTTCTGTGCAAGAGGTTTAAAAGTTCTCAACTAGAAATAAATTGTCAAATAAACTCCCCGAATTAATCAAAAACATGGAAATAACCCTGGATCGCCTCAAATTTATTCATTGGAAGACAAGAAAAACAAAACCTAGTTGAAGCATTTTTACTATACAAATACTGGATTTGAGTTTTCAAGATGAAGGGTGATGAATTAAAATTTATCTTAAAAAATACTGCTTCACCCGCCTCTTAGTACAACAAATAATATTGCCAAATTTTAATAGAATCGAGTGAACTTTTTAATAATAAAAGTATTTCTCTAGAAATCTCAAAACTTCATTCGGTAGTATCCGAGCACTCCACTAATAATATAATCGTTTTAGCAGAATATAAATCGAAAGCAAATATTTGGAAACATGCGCAGTTATCTTGTATGAATTCAATCCGCTTACTGCCGGAGTGGCACGGATGTTAATGGTGGGCAATTAGAATGAGTACATGGCAGGTATATGTGCCACCATTTCACTTTGCACTATCTCGCATTAAGAGCAACCATTCACGGGGATTAAACTGGCATTTTGCGTTGCCGTGTTAACACGCAAAATCTGCTAGCGGTTATTTTGCTTGCAAGGTACGTAAATCAGACAGTTGCAAAGAGAGGACTTACGCTAAAAACACTTGAATTGAGAATCTAGTACAAAGGGCCGGCGATCTATTCTCAAAGAACCAGGATTTAAGATGAGTAGTCAGGGATCATTCATAAATTCTGATCTTTGGAGATCATGCTCAAGGTCAAACTCAGGTACGGTGATATAACTTGAAAGCCAGCAGTCGTATAGGGAAACTACCAAGACGTTATATTCATTATTTTCCAGGATATCCAATGGTGACTTTGGATCTGACCTTGGTCATGACCCACAAGGTCATTTGAGGCCCAACCATTTTTTGTAACGAGACTCTTGATTTTGGCCGCGGCAATGGAACATTTAGTTTGAATATGTCCTTCGCCATTTTTGGAACTTGACCTTGGACTTGACATCAAGATCAAACACAAGTTCACCTTAATTTCTTGATAATCTAGAAAACTATATAATCGCCAGATGAACTGATTTATCTGTGCCTTTAGGATTGTTCTCTGGCTACAAAAATCGAGTAGACCTCCATATATCTTTGAAGTCATCATTGTTAAGGTCAGATCCAAGGTCACCATTGGACATCCGGGGAAAATCATGAAAATAATGTCCGGTAGTTTCCATATACGACTACTGGTTTTCAAGTTAAATCGCCGCACCTGGGCTTGACCTTGAGCATGACCTAATGTCAAAATTTAAGAATGCTTAAGACCATATTTAAATGTAAAATTTCCCTCTATGTCGACTCACGGAGTCAAAAATAGGGGATTCTATTTTAAAAAATCGGCTTTACCGACAAATGACATTGATGCCGTGGTCAAGATCAAATCCAAGGTAAGCATTAGATAGCTGGGGTAAAAACTAAGTCCCGCGATTGATAGGGGTTTTCCCAAGCTATTCATTTGTGATCTTGGATTTGACCTTGACAACGACCTTCGAAGTCATTTGAAGGTCAAGTCTATTTTCTTCGATTTCCCTCATTTTTGATCCCGCAAATTTAAAGGAGCACTAAAATATGGCCTTGTTCATTCATAAATTCTGATCTTTGGAGGTCATGCTCAAGGTCAAACTAAGGTACGGTAATATAACTTGAAGGCCGATAGTCGTATAGGGAAACTACCGAGACGTTATATGCATTGTTTTTTCCCGGATATCCAATCGTGACCTTGGATCTGATCTTGACCATGACCCACAACGTCATTTGAGGGTCAACTATTTTTTTGTAATGAGACTCTTTACTTTTGGCCGCGCAAATGAACAATTTAGTTCGAATATGTCCTTCACCATTTTTGAAACTTGACCTTGGACTTGACATCAAGGTCAAACACAAGTTCACCTTAATTTCTTGATAATCCAGAAAACTATATAATCGCCAGATGAACTGATTTCTCTGTGCCCTCAGGATTGATCTCTGGCAACAAAAATCGAATAGACCTCCATATATCCTTGAAGTCATCATTGTTAAGGTCAGATCCAAGGTCACCATTGGATATCCGGGGAAAATCATGGAAATAATGTCTCGGTAGTTTCCATATAAGTTAAATCACAGCACCTGGGCTTGACTTTGAGCATGACCTAATGTCAAAATTTGAGTATGCTTAAGACCATATTTATATGTAAAATTTCGCTCTATGTCGACTCACGGAGTCAAAAATAAGCATTAGATAGCTGGGGTAAAAACTAAGTCCCGCGATTGATAGGAGCTTTTCCACGCTATTCATGTGTGACCTTGGATTTGACCTTAACAACGACCTTCGAAGTAATTTGAAGGTCAAGAATATTTTCTTTAATTTTCCTCATTTTTGACCCCGTAATTGGAAGGAGCAGAAACTTTACATTAAAATATGGCCTTGATCATTAATAAATTCTGATCTTTGGAGATCATGCTTAAGGTTAAACTGAGGTACGGTGATATACCTTGAAGGCCGGTAGTCGTACAGGGAAACTCGAGAGACGTTATAGTCATTATTTTTCAGGGATATCCAATGGTGACCTTGGACCTACCTTGACCATGAGCCACAACGTCATTTGATGGTCAACTCTTGGCCGCGGAAATGGAAAAAATTTAGTTCGAATATGTCCTAACACAAGTACACCTTGATAATCCAGAAAATTGTGTAATCGCCAGATACAGTGACTTCACTGTTTCTTTAGGATAGAAATCGACTAGACCTCTATATACCCCTGAAGGTCATCATTCTTAGGGTTAAATCCAAGGTCACCATTGGATATCAGGGAAAAATCATGGAAATAATGTCTCGGTAGTTTCCATATACGACTACTGGTTTTCAAGTTAAATCACCGCACGTTGTCCTTGACTGTGATCTTGAATGTCATGGTCGAGGTCAAATCCAAGGTCGCAATTAGATAGCTGGGGTAAGGTATCAATCGTACGGCTTAGTTATTCCATATCATTATTATCGTGGGGTTCGGAACTTATGAGACACCCAGTATAAAATGTTCTAATACTGAATCCTGTAATATCAATATTTACCTTGGGATATTGAGAAAGACGATCGCATGAACTTTCAAAGACTTCAGCTTGTGAGTGATATCCTGGCCGTCACACTCCAACGTAACGAACTCGGTAAGGTCTTTCCATTTTCTTTTCACCAGGTCTTTACCGCCCATTTGCCCGTAAAACATCTTGTTCCTTATCCTAGAGTTAAACTTCTCGGGATGGGCCTCTGAAAATACAATTATCATAAACAAAATGGAAGTGGATAAACAGCAGTGGGAAGATTTTAATAGAACAGTGAAAATAGCGCCAAGCACGTTGTTATCAAACACGTATACGGTAATTTGGGACGTCGAATATATTCAGGCTTTTATTGCACCATTATAAACATTGAAAACATGTCGCAAATCGGGGAGCCTAGCCTTTGGTGAATCTAGCTTAACTACAAAAATCTGTGTAATATCATTCTTATTTTTTAAAACGTTTAATCTTTTGCTATTTTTATATAGGTGATTTTAGGCATAACAACTCCTACAAGCAGTTAAAATAAATAACTCAACTTTGAAAACAGCCTGTATAGTTGATAGCTATGTGTCGGGGAGCAATATTTGAAACAAAACATGGAACTTGAAACGTTGATTTGTTTTGTTTTGAAAAACCAAATAAGAAAATTGAGAGGAACTCATTCAAAATTCTGTAAAAAAAAAAAGATTGTTATTCACGTACCTCTAGCCTCATGGAACTCCAAAGCTATGTGAGCATCAACTCCAAGTGAATAGTAGTTGTTGACGACATTCAAAGGCAGATTCTCTTTTCCTCCATCTTCGTTGGCTTCCGGGTTCTTTTGAACATCTAGCGACCATCTGTCCAAGGATACCGTTTCACTGTTGCTGATGTTCAGGAGGATCTTGGAGATGGGTTCGTCCGTGTAACCCTGGAGATAAAATCACTCGATGATTGAAAAAATTATGGCTACAATTTTTGAGCAGAAAATGTATAAACATAATGGCGTCAAGTGGATTAAGTTCAGCGCATGTTGAATCCCCCGAGGAAAAAATTAGTTACGGAAATGTACAATAGAGTGATAAAATAGATCAAGTCAGTCAGACAGGCCCATACAAGTAGTACATAGGCATTCTTTTCCTGTCCTACCGGTAGCGACCGTCCATCTGGCAACGGTGCTTCTTTCCCTATACCTAAACAGACGCGGCTGCCGCCCATCAAAGCACCGTTGCACTACCAGCGGAACAATCAAGCAAACCGCTACGCTGGGCGCTGAGCCTAACCAGCGGAAGGAGACGCGTATCGAATACATTTCTGTATTTTTTTTAAGACAAATTCATGGGGAACCTATGCCTTGTGAAATTTGGCTAATAATAACATTAAAGAGTTAGAGTCTATAACCCCCACCATCTATTTTGAAAAAGATTTTCAATAATGATCAGCATCGTCATAAACGTCAAAAAACGTTCGAGCTACTTTTGATTTTTTTTCGGATGAAGCCTTGGTCTCCATTGCCACTGGACAGTTTTCCAAAAACTACAAAACTTTTATTTGATAAATGAAATCACCATTGGAAACGTTGATCTTTAAGCCATTTTTCTCCATAGTCGCTATTTTTTTCTACGCATTTTTTTAGACGTGAAATCCGAAATAAGGTTTTGTAGCTTCTCACAAGCGAAAAAGTCTCTATCGACCAGCCTTCATCGCCCGAAGTGTGAGACTGACGTAGTACCATAATTAAACATCTCTCAATATTTTGGTACTCACCCCACCCCATCCCAAGGCTCTGGCGAGATCATTTCCGGTACCAAGCGGAAGTACCCCAACAGCGGGAGGCGGATCGATTCCAATCTGGTCTATGACGCTGAGTACCCAGCCAACGGTTCCATCTCCGCCACAGGCTAGTACCCTCAAGTTGGCTGCCTTGCGGAACAGTTCTAGGCCGGAACGGGGACCTCCTTGAGTCAGGTCGAAGACCTGAAAAAAACACCAGTTGTGGATTGTAGATGTCTGAAAATCAGTGTTATCAATTTTTTGTCAAAAAATGCATTTTATGTGTATTCTTTATCGTCAGTCGTGACTTGTTAATTACTGATGATGCAGCTTTGAAATTGTATGTGAATATTCCACTTCTATAGTAGATTTGAGCGGTTAATCAGTCCTCTTAGATCTTGCCAAAGAATCTGATACATAAATCATTAATCTTTATTAGCTAAATTTAAATATTATGGTTTTTCTGACTCTTCAATTCAGTAAGATCAGTGACTTCATCAGAAACAGTTCTCTAAACGTTGTTATTAATATGAACTCATCACCAGAAACTTTAATATTCTCTGGAGTGCCCCAGGGAACAGTGCTTGGACCACTCGTTTATATTCTTTACATAGCTGATCTACACAATGTGGTAAAATATTGCAATATACAGTTCTTTGCCGATGATTCTCAATTACACAACGATTTCAGTAATGATAAAATTATATCTGCAGGATCTCAAAGAAATGAGGATTTAAAGGCTATACTAAGTGACATAAATTCGAACACCCAGTTTAAATGGTTTTATTTTAATAAAATTTTGTATAAGTACTTAATGAAGCATAATAAGTAAATGATAGAAATTTCAAAATGATTGCACTGCTTTAAAGCCCTTTGACCTTTAATAATGTGTGGATGCACCCTGATGTGCTACGCATTCTCCAACGCGCCTAGGCATGCTTCTGATCAGGTGGTCAATGTCCTCCTGTGGTATCTCATTCCAGGCAACCACCAACTCCTCTCGAAGTGCTTCTAGAGTCTGAGGAGGACGTTGCAAATTGAGCAATCTCCTACCCATCGTATCCCACACGTGCTCAATTCGGGATGAGTCGGGAGATCTTGGTGGCCATGGTAACAATGTGACATCATTATGTTGAAAGAAGTCTATTGTGACTCTTGCAGCATGTGGTCGGGCATTATCTTGTTGGAAAGTTGGATCTGTCAGGGTGTCAAGATAGGGTACAAGATGGAGTTCTAGAACTTCGTGGATATAACGCTGCGCGTTCATGTTACCTCTGATGAAGATTAAAGGTGACTTGGAACCATAAGCTATAGCACCCCAAACCATAACTCCAACAGTGTGATGAACATGTCTTTCAACAAAAAACTGTGGATTCCTCCTTTCACCACGTCGCCTTCTAACCCTCGCACGACCATCGTGCATGCCTAAACAAAATCGAGACTCGTCACTAAAGACAATACTGTTCCATTCCTGATCCCAGAGTGACCGTTGACTGCACCACTCAAGGCGATTACGTCGGTGTTCTCGAGTTAAAGGGAGGACCCAGTGTGGCCGGTAAGAAAACAAGCCAAAACTTCTCATTCGTCGGTAAACACTTCGCATGCCAATAGGTCTTCCGTGTTCTGCAAACCATTCATTTGCAATGGACCTGGTAGTGGAGAAAAGGTCCCTTAAGGCCAATAATCTTAGGCGGCGATCTTCACGGTCTGTTGTTCTACGGCGGCGCCCCATTGCTCTTTGCGTACGGCCTTCTCGAAGCCATGCCTGACAACACCTAACCACAGTGTCTACACTTCTTTGCTTTCTAACTGCAATTACCCGAAAAGAAAGTCCAGCTTCCCCAAGTCCCACTATACGGCCCCTATCAAACTCACTAAGTTGACGAAATCGTACAGGTCACCGTACTCTAGGCATCGTAACCGATCGTAAAGGATGTCAAGAACATCAAAATCCGCCAACGTTGATTCTTTACTGCGGCTGAAATATTCATTTTTAGAGCGTTAGTGAATTAAAAAAAAGCAGTATAAAAACCGGAATGTCCAACTGATAAGGCTGAAAATTTTTTCACTTGTTATTTACAGTAAGATAAATACATTCACCAACTTTTATTAAAATAAAACCATTTAAACTGGGTGTTCGGATTTATATGTCACTTAGTATATTATCAATAATCATTAAATTATTTTTTATTTCTATGGGTAATATGACTTGTTTGAATAGGGCAATATTCATTTTTTATCAATGAAATCTCATGAAAATGAGGATGTGATAGTACAAAAATATAAATTTAATTTTTTTGCGAAACATTTTTTCTTACCACCCTGTATTGATCATTCAAGAAATTCAAAAAATTTATGAATTAGGCGAAAATTGAGTATAATAAATAATAAAATTGTTTCGACATAAAATTTACTACTCCAGTTATCCTGGTAGCAGGTACGCAGATTGTCAAACATTGATGTTTTTTTTTTAGATAATATGCCCAATAGTTCAACAACTAATAAACAAAATGTTATTACAATCTTGTTCATTTGAAATGGCCTAATGTGTATTAAAAACTGGGACATTTCATTTAAGAAAAATTAACTTTGATATGTGGGTCAAATTTGGGACACCCTGTATAATTGTGAATTTTGATATATGCCTCTAGATATCATATACAGGGTGTTCGAACAATATACGGAAATATCTTAGATGGCGACTTCTTGTTAAAAAATATGAATAAAGTTCATTTCCAACATTTGTTGTAGTGTACTTTATGTCATGGGACTATTTTGAAGGTTGCAATAATACTCTTTTTCTAGAAATTTTTTGATTTTCCAAGGCATAAACCAATTTTGTCCAGTAACATCCAATACGACGGTTTTTTTTTCTAGGAAACGAAGTGAGATACGAAAAAAATACAAGAGGCAAACAAGTTGTATTTTTAGATGCTTAATCAAACAATAAATATTAAAGTTTCAAAACAGGCAGTGGCGTACATTTTGTTGCCAACAATTATCGCTAATGTTCCTCCGGGACGCCACTGGACCTAATAATTTAAATGTTTTTAGGGCTAAATTAGCATCTTAATACAACAAATAATATTGCCAAATTTCATGTGAAATAAATAGATTCCTTTGATAAGTTTTTTTAGGAGCGATAATCCCTTCTATACTACAACTATTTAAAACTGTAAAGACTCATACGCGTGATCACCACGTGATCAGAGCTCGATCCCGGCTTCCTTCGAGTACAGCCGTATAGCGTACGACATATGTCGTTTCTGTGGCTTTGCGGTGGTCAACAGCACAGACAGAGATGGAAATAATGGCTGATTGTTCTCCGCCGGTAGAACCAATGAAATCAAAGACGCGCCTCGACCGGCAGACGCATTGGAACGTGTTTCGTTGAGCGATCGCATATTGTGTGTTTTTATAAGAATTGTTGTGTGATTGTTATTGTTGTGGTTTCTGTGGTTACTGTTTTGGTTATACTTAACCGTGGAGAGTACAAATGGCACGAGTAGAAGTACTGAAAGCCAGGGAACAAGTAGACGGCTTCGTAAAGCACTGAAGAGGGACGCGAAAGAAATCGTGCTCAACGTGTTCAGTTATCTGAACAGAACTATGTCGCAGGGAGATGCACTCGCGCGTTGTGAAAGTATGACAGGCGTTCCAGAGTGGACCATTCGCAGGGTGGTGCATGAAAAGAAGAAAACTGGAGCTACTACTGATCCAAAGTTTAATTTGAAGGGACGAAAGGCCGTTAAATTGGATGACGATAGCAAAATGGCGTTAATGCGAACCGTACATTCATTCTTCTTTAGGAATGAGAAACCAACCCTCAAGGCTGTACATGCAGCGATCAAGGAAAATGAAATTATACCCCAAATGAGCGTCGAGGTAATGACGAAATCCCTGCACGAAATTAATTTTCGTTACGAAACACGTAATCGGAAGTCAGTATTGATAGAGAGACCTGAAATAGTCGGTATAGCACGGTTGTAACACCCTGTATCCTTCTTATTTGTCATCAACGTGCGCTTTTACGCTTTATTGTGTGTCAATACAAATTTTCCATTTTCATATCGCTTGTTAAGTGAACGAAACTGTAATACCTTGACACTCCATCAACGTTGCATAGACTAAAAAAGTAAAGAGGCAACTAGACAGTTTTTTTCCGCGATACTGTGTAATTTTCCTCAAGCTTTCTATTAGAACGAACCAAAAACGAGGCTTGTATTTTCCGATAAACGAGAAGCGAACCTCCGATAACAAAGGCCCCGTGTATTATTTTTCTTGCCGTCGGAACAGTACGGTTGGATGGCGAGGTGTAGACGAGGTGCTGCGAACAAAAAGACTTCACAAAAGGAAAAAACATCGGACGAGTATAATATAAAAATCCGATTTTCTTTCGCCTATACACACAAGAGCCGCCGCTGCGAAGGTCACCCTAGACCTTTTGTTGATAGATAAGGAACCGTCGATTGATAGCTCCTTATAATACATCACTAGTCATTGTGTGTTTGTCTCACCACAAGCGTATTTTGTACAGGGTGTTTTTTAACTTTTTTATCACGCTTTTATTAGCTTGGACTGTACGCATGTCTCTGTTATTCAAATCAGTTCGCTTTTTCATTATTTAGTTTTTACAATCTTGTTAATAATGGTGAATTATTCAAATGCAGAAATGGCGGAAATGCATTACGTGTATGGCCTTGCCGACGGTAACGGTGAGCAAGCCAGACGGATTTATCACCAGAGATATCCCGATCGTGCTTTGCCAGATAGTCGAACGTTTTCTAATATTCTTCGTCGTCTTGTTGAAACTGGTTCTGTCCGTAAAGGAACATCTGAAGGTAGACCTCTAAGTGTGATTTTCTAAGGCGTGCGACCTTTTGTCAGTGGTATCTTTAAAATGTGTGAGCAGAAGAAGATCCCTATGCCGTAACCGAAACACCAATTTTCGGTTAACGTATGGGCGGGAATTATTGGCAGCCACTTCATTGGCGCATTCTTCTTGCCGGGACGACTTGACGGACATACTTACCTCATTTTCTTCAACAACAGTTGCCTTTGCTGCTTGATGATGTTCCGTTAGTAATAAGAAACAATATGTGGTACATGCATGATGGTGCACCAGCGCATTTCAGTGTAGCGGTTCGTAATTATACTAAGTGACATATAAATCCGAACACCCAGTTTAAATGGTTTTATTTTAATAAAAGTTGGTGAATGTATTTATCTTACTGTAAATAACAAGTGAAAAAATTTTCAGCCTTATCAGTTGGACATTCCGGTTTTTATACTGCTTTTTTTAATTCACTAACGCTCTAAAAATGAATATTTCAGCCGCAGTAAAGAATCAACGTTGGCGGATTTTGGTTCTTGACATCCTTTACGATCGGTTACGATGCCTAGAGTACGGAGATCTGTACGATTTCGTCAACTTAGTGAGTTTGATAGGGGCCGTATAGTGAGACTTCCGGAAGCTGGACTTTCTTTTCGGGCAATTGCAGTTAGAGTGCAAAGAAGTGTAGACACTGTGGTTAGGTGTTGTCAGGCATGGCTTCGAGAAGGCCGTACGCAAAGAGCAAGGGGCACTGGACGCCGCCGTAGATTAACAGACCGGGAAGATCGCCGCCTAAGATTATTGGCCTTAAGGGACCGTTTCTCCACTACCAGGTCCATTGCAAATGAATGGTTTGCAGAACACGGAAGACCTATTGGCATCCGAAGTGTTTACCGACGAATGAGAAGTTTTGGCTTGTTTTCATACCGGCCACACTGGGTCGTCCCTTTAACTCGAGAACACCGACGTAATCGCCTTGAGTGGTGCAGACAATGGTCACTCTGGGATCAGGAATGGAACAGTACTGTTTTCAGTGACGAGTCTCGATTTTGTTTAGGCATGCACGATGGTCGTGCCAGGGTTAGAAGGCGACGTGGTGAAAGGAGGAATCCACAGTTTTTTGTTGAAAGACATGTTCATCACACTGTTGGAGTTATGGTTTGGGGTGCTATAGCTTATGGTTCCACGTCATCTTTAATCTTCATCAGAGGTAACATTGACACCCTGGCAGATCCAACTTTCCAACAAGATAATGCCCGACCACATGTTGCAAGAGTCACAATAGACTTTTTTCAACATAATGATGTCACATTGTTACCATGGCCACCAAGATCTCCCGACTTATCCCCAATTGAGCACGTGTGGGATATGATGGGTAGGAGATTGCTCAATTTGCAACGTCCTCCTCAGACTCTAGAAGCACTTCGAGAGGAGTTGGTGGTTGCCTGGAATAAGATACCACAGGAGGACATTGACCACCTGATCAGAAGCATGCCTAGGCGCGTTGTAGAATGCGTAGCACATCAGGGTGCATCCACACATTATTAAAGGTCAAAGGGCTTTAAAGCAGTGCAATCATTTTGAAATTTTTATCATTTACTTATTATGCTTGATTAAGTACTTATACAAAATTTTATTAAAATAAAACCATTTAAACTGGGTGTTCGGATTTATATGTCACTTAGTATATTTACAAACTGTTTATCCAAATCGTTGGATTGGCCGCGGTGGGCCCCCAAGAATGGCCACCAAGGTCCCCAGACCTGAACAGTTTAGATTTCTTTTTGTGGGGCTATCTTAAGACACTAGTACACAAGTCCCATTAACACTGTAGAGGAATTAAGAGAAAGAATAGTTGCAGCTTGTGATAGAATGAAAAATACTCCAGGGATATTTCAACGAGTGCGCAATTCCATGAGTTCGGTTAGCTATAAAAGATTGGTTATTAGTTTTTTCAAACTAGTATTTGTTGCTCGTATGGTTCTTGTAAAAATATGCAAAATTTCGTCGTGACAAAGATACCAAAGGAGGAGTTGTAAGGTTTCTAGGAAAGGTGGAAATACGGCCCTGCATTCAGAAAAGATACAACGTGCCCAGGCGTTGTCGGAAAACCTGTTTCCCAAATTTTTTGAAAAAATTGTGTCATTAAGAATGACTACGAAATTAATGAACTATTGTTTAAAGAACACGGCTTCAGTAAATGAGCTGAATCTGCATCCTTTAATAAGCTGATCTTTGTTTACGAGTAATTAGATTTAAATAAGAAGGTATTAACACTCTTTTTTGACTTAACAATAACCTTTAATCCACAGGTCAGAGTATACAACTTACAGACTAGACCTCAACATAAAATTATAATAAAATTAGTTATTAAGTTATTTTTTTGGTCAATTAGATGGGCTAGACATTAATGATACGTGGTTTCAACAAGTCACACAGCGGTGCCGCAATCGAAATATTGAAATCAAAATTCGGCGAACGTGTTATATCGTGAAATGGTCCTGTCTAATGACCGTCTAGATCGTATGATTTAACACCTCTAGACTAGACAAGGTCAAATTCCATACATAAATGTTTTGAGTATACTTCAATCCAATAATAAAATTTTCAAGATATCTCAAATGGTTTGCGCTTTATTTAAAAAGAAAGTTGTCAAGCCCTTAATGGAAAACATGATTATTTACAACGAATTTGGATAGGTATATTTTTTAAAAAGCTTTGCAAAATTATAAGCATCTCAAATTTGCTTGTCGATTATTAGAGGCTTTTCCTCACCTGTCTGGGATTGAGCAACCATTGAAACTTCTGCAGCAACTTGAGGCCCTGGTTGCCCCCTGATTTTGGGTTGATGAACACGATGACAGGCGTTACGTTGGTCGTGGGGATCGGCTTGATTGTGAATGCCTTGTTTTCCTTATCCTGGAAATCAATATTGAAAAGCATGATTACGAGACCCTTCCCACTTCAGTTGGCCCAACTATTAAAATCTTAGTCTTTTTCTTATCAAACACAAATAATAAAAATCTAGCAAGGTGTTATAGGTTAAAATATTAACAATGAATATTTTGATAATACGTAGTAGAAAACACCAACTTTATCACTCCGTAATCAAATTTTCAGCATAAAAATAACACATGTTGCAATTACAGCATAACCTATTTTCATTTCAATGCAAAATAATTCTATAACGCATAGGTGGTTGTGAAGAATAAAAGCCATGACAATTGTTTTTATTAATCACAGCTGTCAGAATACGTTTAAAATAGTTTTGGGTAGTTAAGATTACCAAAATGGGCAGAGGAAAGGTTACTATTGAGAAAATTCGGTTACTGATAATTACATTTTTTAATTCTTGGAAATCAAACTCAGAAATTGCAACTTTGTTAGACTTATCGCGGTACAGTGTGAGAAATATTGTTAGGAGATATAACTGGTTCAGTTAATATTAGGCCACGATATGTGAAAAAAAGTAATATCACAAATGCCGACCGAAGAGCATTAAGAAGAATAATTGTAAAAAACAGGCGTGCCAATTATTTACAATTAAGTGCTCTGTGGAGTGACGCTGTGGGAAGGAGAATTTCGAGGTCCACAACTCATAGCCCACAAACTGGGATTTAGCACTTGCAAGGTAAGTTTTCTTATAAAAAAAGTGAAGTAAAAACCCTAAAGTTGCACAACTTGTTTATAGGCCAAAGAAAAGCCACTATTAACTCCACTGCAAGAGAAAAATAGTGATGAGGCCCAATGTGTTGGTGACAGTCGCAGTAGAGTTATTCGCAAAAAAATGAAGCATTCCATGTTGACTGTCTGAAGAGAAAAGTGAAATTACCAGCATCCATTATGGTCTGGGGCAGTATGTCATCAAAAGGAGTAGGAAAACTTTATTTTATTGATGGAAATGTGGATACAAACAAATATTTGGCAATTTTGGAAGAATCGCTTTTACCAGTGATAGAAGAATGTTTGACATCCGGCCAAGATTTTGTGTTTCAGCAAGATGGTGCAGCGTGCCATACCTCAAAAAAGGCTATAAAATGGATGGAAGAAAATAATGTACCACTTTTGAAATGGGTTTCTAGCAGTCCAGATCTGTCACCTATTGAAACTTTGTGGCACGAGATGAAAAAGGATCTACGACTACATCCTGCTCGTACAATCACCGAACTGAGACCAAAGCTTCAAGAAATATGGTATTGTTTTACACAAAATTTTTGCCAAAACTTGGTTAACACTATGCCCCAAAGAATTTCAGCCGTAATACAAAATAAAGGTGATGTTACCCAATGGTAATCTTTCAGTTCTTGCTTTGTTAACTTCGCGCATTTATTCACTCATCGTTTATTTGTTCAGATGTTCTATTAGTTATAGGTCTAAGTGATTTCAAATATGTATTTTTTACGACTAGAGTGTATCTAAAATGTTTTTGAGAAAATAAATTATTGTTTTAGAAATAAATACCTGTAGTTTCGTCATGTTTAGTTTATAAAGGCATATTTTGGTACAAATCATGAAGTGGGCCAACTGAAGTGGAAGGGGCTCGTATATGATTTATTAAGACATAGATTTGACATTATAGCTTATTCGCGCCTTAATTGAAATATAAGTACACTAAGAAGAGATTTTGGCATTAGACATGAACGATTGTGCAGCCGATCACTACGAATTATATGAGTAATATTTAATTGAACATTCGTCTTGTTTTTCAAATTTTCAATTTCACGTTTTTGGTGGATGTTGAACAACTTGACAAAGAACTCTACTTCGAACAGTTTCCTATCAGAACTAAATTGTACCTTATCTTTAGTCCTTCTCTTGCCAGCACCTTTCTTTGGAGATTTTCTTAAGCTAGACTTGAAAGCGCCTTTCCTTGGTAACTTGATTATCCATGATGGAGGAACTATAATACTGGAATGTATACCTAAAAAAAAAAATAGTTGGTTAGAGGATGGAATGTGTTAAGGCTGCAGACGACTCCCACATTTTTTCGATTTTTAATGAGACAATTTTCAAAAATGCCCTTATATCTGTGATCTCGGATCTAGGCACCCAGGGGCGTCCGCAGGCACAAGATTTGAATACTTAGCATGATTTTGTGTGCGATTGTGAGATTTTCTAGCATTTGTCATAAACTTTTGGGGGCTGGTACACTTCCACAAAAAATCATCTCTTGCCGATGAAGCCCTCGAGAAAAATGTCTGCGGGCGCTCATGGGTGCGCCGACTCATATGACAGCGAAATTGCCTGTTCATTAGACAGGGGATGCCCAATAGGCCTCATTACTTAGCGGTAACCATTAGATAATGAACCTTGAATCGATTGTAACGTGTATCTCTCAAGTGTGTTTAAATTATTATCACTACCATTATCCCTAAGTACTGTTGCACGCCACTGATGTAAAGCCCCCCATACATGCTGGAATATATCAACGAATACACCCGACAGGTTTGCTTATGCAGTCACATGCGCCAGAATCTTTAGCAGAGTGTTGAGTAGAAAAAGTAAAGGAACGGTAAATATGCGTAGTCGCTCTACAACTGACACCTACAGCAGGTGCAACTTTCTTCCTGCCAGACTTTGGCCTCCGCACGTCCAGAACTGGCTGGTCCGAACGCCCCTCTATCCCTAGGATGTCGAGGTTGTGTTGTGGAGGTTAGGTTTCGGTCAGAACCCGCTGTGGCAGCAGAAACTCGTACAGGTCGCAAAACTTGGCATTACGGACATGGCGACTGGGAGCGGCTCAGAGACTTCTTCTCTAGCTTTTCTATGGAGAGATGTCTGTTTTACTGACGCGGATGCGTAGGCTGTCTGTTCTTCGATAACCGAAATTATCCACGTCGGAATGGAGGAATACATCCTTCACACAGTGAAAGTGCCTAAACCAGGGTCCAACGGCTGGTTTAACAAATCGTGTTACACTGCTCGCCAGCAGAAGATCAAGGCACACAGAATCTTCTTACACCCCACTATAGAGAACATACAAGCCGAGGTCGAGTCCAGAAACAAATATAACGAAGCGGTTCGCAATGCCAAAAACCACCACGATATAAAAGTTAGGCACAGGGTAATGTCGCAGCGCAATGGCAGTCGGTCTTTCTGGACGCTGGCCAAGCAGATTGAAAAGAACTTCTCACACAGTAGCCTTCCAAAACTTACGAGTCAGGATGGAACTATTGTTTTCGACTCAAATGCCAAGGTGGAAATGCTAGCCAAGATCTTTCAAAGGGTTACCTAGACTATGCGGGAGGTAACATTCAGGCATAAGACCGTAAGACGAGAGCTCTTGTCGCTCGACATCAACAAAGTTTCTGGTCCGGACTTGATTCCTGCCATTGTACTGAAGAGGTGTGCACCGGAGCTTGCTCCAGTTATTTCGCATCTCTTCCATATATCTTATGAATCTGGCACCTTCCCAGAAAACTGGAAATTTGCTAATGCCCAACCCATCCCAAAAAAGGATCTAAGACCGACCATTACAACTACAGGCCTATAGCTCTGCTTTCTGTTATAAGTATGGTGATGGAGAGGTGGATAAATCGCGAGCTTTTGGACTACCTCGAACGTCACAGCTTGATTAGCGTCCGGAAGTATGATTTCCGGCACCAACGATCCACCGCGGACCTCCAAGCTTACGTCAAGCAATTGTGGAGTAAACTCAACCAGTCTTATGGTGAGGCTCATGCCGTTGCTCTTGACATCACGAAAGCGTTCGATCAGCTGTGGCACGCTGCCCTCTTAAGCAAGCTTTCATCCTATGGCCTCCCAGAAAAGCTTTGCAGATGGGTGGCTGACTTTATCTCTGGCCGCAAGATATCCGTCGTAATTGACGGGTTCTCCTCTTCATCCCACAACGTCAACGCGGGTGGTTCACAGGGATCGGTCTTGGATCCGACACTGTTCTCTTACATATCAACGATCTCCTTTCCTGCACGATCAACCCAACCCACAGATTCGCTGATGACAGCACTTTACATGCAGGAATTCAGAGTGACAGGCCGATCTCTGCCGCTGAGCTGGAAAAAAGAAGACTAGCGACGATTTCCTCTCTGACAAGATACCTGGAGGCTATCACTGCTTGGGGACGCAACAATCTTGTACAGTTCAATGCTTCCAAAACACAGTACTGTACTTTGACGAACAAAAAGCGTCCTAGCGCTCAACCGGTTTCGATGGATGGCCGAGTTCTTCCAAAGAGCCATTCATTTCGGCTGCTCGGAGTCTAGATCACCGAGGAGCTGATCTGGCACGAACACATCTCGTCAATAGCTGCAGCTGCTGGGAAAAAGCTAGGCTGTTTGTTTAGGGCTAAGAAGTACTTTTCTCCGCATGACCTTCTCACTCTATACAAGGCCCAGCTAAGGCCTAGCCTCGTGTATTGCTCACACCTGCTGCCGCCCCGACTACATTATCCATGCTCGATGCTGTCCAGAGGAGGGCGGTCCGACTGATCGATGACTCTTCTCTAACAGACAGTATCGGGACTCTTTCGCACCAGCGGGCTTTCGGCGATCTAGCTCTTTTCCACCGCTACACCAACGGGCTTTGCTCCTCAGAGCTCTCTTCCATGATGCCGCAACGCAATGTGCCTGCCAGATAAACCCGCCTGACTTTGGCGTCCCATCCTAACCGTGTCGAACTTCGTACATCCAGAACTGGCCGATACGACCCCTCCTTTGTCCCGAGGGTGTCGAGATTATGGAACAATCTACAAGAGGAAGCTTTTCCCAGATCTACTAACCAAAGGCAGTTCAAAAATCGTATTAACAAAATTTCTTTGGGATCATCATAGCAGCCGTGCTTTTTCCTCATTTAGGCTTCTGCCTGCGCAGCTGCTTCGATATAAAAAAGCTCAAAAATCGAATTAACAAGTGGTCTTCAAGCTTCTTATAGCAGCCGCGGCGCCCCGGTATTCAGGCTTCTACCTGCTTTCGTATAAAAAAAATATGAAGTACACCTAGTTTTATTGCGCAGGTATATCCATAGGTAAAAATTAAAAATAAATACAGGGTGTCCGCAAAGTTGGGGTTTTCCTTTTCAGAAACAACTACCCTTGAAATAACAAAGGTAATGTGTAGTGAAACGAGGGCGACCAAGTAAAAAAAATAAAGAAAAAAGTACTCACTCTCCAGTTGACGAGAAGGGCTAAGTACGTCTCTGCCCGAAATCATACCACTCCAACAGAAAATGAAATCAGCTGATGCGCTACCGAGCAGACGCCGGCGGTGGTGCAGACCGGTAGACCACGAACAGAGGTAACAAATATGACCATCGTGCAGAAACCACATTGATTGTCTTACACTTAATGGCACATCTTCTAACAAGGAATGCAAAATGTTGCGTAAATAGTCTAGGTATTGCATCCCGTCCAATCGATTTGGGAGAATAAATGGTCCAATGAGCATACCGTTCACCATGCCAGCCCAAACATTCACCGAAAATGTTTGTTGAAAATGTGCCCGACGGACAGCGTGCGGATTTTCTACTGACCAAACATGAGTGTTGCGAAAGTTATTCACCCCATTACGCGTGAACGTAGATTCGTCTGTCACCAATATGCACTTCAAAAAGTCCGGATTATTGTCATGTTGATGCAACAACCACTCACAAAACCGCACTCTTGCTGGAAAATCGTCAGGTTGAAGGGCTTGTACACGTTGGACGTGAAACGGATACAGCCCCTCTTCACGCAGCGTTTGCCACACTTTAGTTTTTGATACATACTTGCACTTCTCTAGCCACGTTTCTAGTGCTTGTTGTTTTTTGAAACGCAATCGATTATACGAGTTCGTTTACCTCTACACGCGTGACCGTAAGGTTGCATACTGACCTGACACACTGACCCCGACCCCCGACCCAGTTCTGTCGTCGGGTTGAGCTAGTGTCCTAGTACCAGTTGGGGATGTCGCGAGTCGCGGCTACAGGACAGGACAGATATTTTTGATGTTGCAGAGCCCTTCATCTCGGTTACCTTAAGACATTGGTGTATATGGTACTAAGAAAAATTGCTTATGTTTTCAAGATCTACACGTCGTGTAAAGGAAAACCCCAACTTTGCGGACACCCTGTATAGCAAATTTGTATTATCCTAATAGCTCGCCTGGACCAGTGCAGAATCCTGTCCCGTTGTGTTAGATAAAATTAGACAATGTCCGAAATATTTTGTACATGTACAGTTCAACAGTTGAAACAAACGTGTCCGGTATAGCTTAGCGTGTATGGCCGGCTTTAGCCCGCGACGCTAGCCCAACACTTCCCGGACATATTACCTGTCGTTACATCCGGTTATTGCGCTATTCGTACCGGATGACACTTTATGGATCGGCCGCGGTCTGTACAATAAAATTATTACCGTTGCTTTACTGGAAATATAACCTGAATTATGGGCGCATATAAGGGTTATATATGGCCGTAGAACAGATTGAAGCCACGTCTGCAGTATGGAATTGGGTAACATGCGGGGATATCAGGGAGGAATTAATTAATATATGTCAAGTTCCATCCGTAAATTAAGTATCCAAATTCCTACATTTTCATACTTGAATCCCACGAAGGCCCAAGGAATACTTTTGACCTTTTTCCGAACCCCTAGTATTACTCCAAGAGCCAACTACTAGTAACTGATATAATAAACCACCTTCAGCGACGAGATGTACCTATCGTGATATAGACAACACACAACACAATATCCACGACTCGGAATTAAAAGTAAGGCCTAAATATCCGTGGGTACCGCGGCGTTGACACCCTGTTTATAAAAAGACAGTGCACATTTTTATAGACTTTATAATTTTACCAATCAACATTTAAATAAAGATAGTCCTGCTTTTACTAACCTTTCCCGCTTGGTACCGGCAAATTCACCGTCTACCAAATCTACCACTTCTTAATAACCTACATTTTTTCTTTCAGAAAATAAGTAAT